TTATTATTATTATTATTATTATTGTTATTTCTTCTTATTTTTTGTATTATTTCACATACGCTAGGTCGTGACATGTTTTTCATCTTTTTACCCTTATTACCCCCCCGTTGCCACCGCCCCCTGGCCCCCCTCCGAGATCGTATTTATCATTTTATATGTGAATTTAGCTTAAAGGAAAGATTTCGTTTCGTTTTTTCGTTTTTTTCTTTTTTTTGCAAAGCTTTTTGATGTATTTCATGTGTGAAATTTGTTTCGTTATTTTAAGGAGAGATAGAGGGGGAGGGGGAGGGAGGGGGAAAGGGAAAACCGTACGGAGGATTTGTACCATTTTCTTTATTTATTTACGGGTAACAGGGTTTTTTTTACCCTGACATTGTAGAAACACTTTTTACGGTCCTGCGACGATTTATTATCGGGTAATAAAAAAAAAAAAATTTTTTTTTGTTGTTGCGATTCGGGGAGAAAGAAAAAGAAGGAAAATGAAGGAAAATGTAAGAAAATATTTAATTTTTATTTATTATTATTATTATTATTATTATTATTATTATTATTTTCGGGTTTAATACTCTTTACATGTTACACGAATGCATAAAAATAAAAATTAAATCTTCGTTTTATTTTTTTTTTTATTTTTTTATTACCGCCATTTTGCCCCCTCAGCCCCCGCTCTCCGCCCCTGCCACCCGTCATTTATTTTGTTTTATTTTTATTTTTTTTTTGGAAGGAAGAAAGGAAAAAAGGAAGGAAATAAAACGGAAAAAGAAGAAAATTTTTCTTGTCTTTAACGACTTTTGTTAATGACAATAATAAACAAACAAACTTGTAAAAAAATTTGTGTCACGCGTTTGTTTTGTTTTTAAATAATAATAATAATAATAATAATTGATTATTGTGATAGTGCTGATAAGGTTTGTCATTTCATTCACTTGAAAACGGGAGAGGGGGGGGGGAGAAAAAAAAATCTGGAGAGAAAGAAAATTTCCTTTTTTTTCCTCCGATGAGAATTTAAATAGGAATGAGTGAGGAGTGGCTATGTCTTTTTTTTATTAAATATTGCCCCCCCCCCCACTTTTCTTTTGCTCGACTCGTCTCTCGCCTTCCCCCTCCACCCCTCAGGAAAAAATAATAAAGAAAATTCGTTTGTTCGTTTGTTTGTTTTAAACAATTCACAAAAGCGAGGCGTGAATTTTTTGTTGTTGTTGTTGTTGAATTTGTTTTTCTTATGTTCGATTGGAAATTTTTTTTTTTTCGATTGTAACGCCATAATAATTATCATCATCATCATCATCATCATCATTATTGTTATCATTATTATTATTATTATTATTAATGAAATGATTGTGCGAATCGTGTTTGCTTTTTATTTCTTATGTTCCTCGTGTGTGTTTTTCACACAAAGGAAACAAAAAAAATTTTTTTTTTCTTTTTCAATGGATGAATTTAATTTTTTTTTTTTTTTTGCGTTTCACGAAAAAGGAAAATGGAAAAACTAAATTGAAATTTTTTTTTTTTTTTTTTTTGAAAAATCGAATTTTGATTTTAACGCGATAAAATCTTTTTCTTTTGATGTCATTTCCGGATTTTTTTTTTCCTTCTTCTGATTCGGTAGGAGGAGGAGGAAGGGAGGAGGGAGAGCAGAGGGGGAAGGGAAAAACATTTCTTTGTGTGCTTTTCGCGTTTCGCGTTTTTTTTAATCGTCGATTTCTTTATTTATTTATAATTATTTGGAGAGCGAATGAAATTTTTAATTATATTAACTTGGAAAGAAAGAAGAAAAAATGGCGAATTAATTATGGGGTTATTAGGTGACGAAATATAACCGATATGTGTGTGTGTGTGCGTGTGTGTGATCCACATAATGTTTGGCAAGTCGAAAATGCGGGTTTCCGCCTTTTTTTATTTATTCTTTTGGAATAATTATTATTATTATTTTTATGGTGCGTGTGCGACTTTTTTTTAGACTTTACGAATTATAAACCCAATTAATAATAATAATAATAATGATGATAATGATAATGATGATGATGTCGAGGATACAAAATTTTTTTATATTTTTGAAACAAATCGAATGAAAACGTTTTACGTGTATTAATATTATTATTATTATTTCGAGAGCACAACACCACCCCTGATGTGGAGTGTTTTCCTTTTTTTCCTTTTTTCCTTTTTTTAAAGAGATTAATTTAAATTTATTATAAAAAAAAATTATATTATTATGATATTAAATATGTAAAATGGGAGCGTGACTAAATATAAATGATTCAGATGAATTTTTTTTTTTTTTTTTTTTTATTTAAAACGTAAGTGAATGAAAACTATTTACTTTGGATTTTTCTAGAAGAAATAGGGGGTGGGGGAAAGAAGAAGTAGTAAAAGTAGTAGAAGGGGGGGGGAAATGTAATTTTTATATGAGAAATCGTGAAAAGACGATGTGCAAAAAAATAAACAAAAATGGCGGATGGGAGGGAGGGTTCGAATTAAAAATAATAAATAAAAAGTTAAATTTATATCATTATCATTATTATTATCATTATTATTAACGATAATATTTTACATTAAAAAGAAATAAAACGAAAAGTTTATAAAAAATGTGAGGGATGCTGTCGTTTTTTTAAAAAAAAAAAAAAAAAATGTTGATGGATCAATTTATTATTGCTTTTAGTAAAAGTTTTTCTTTTTGAAAAACTTTTTGTCTTTTTATTTATTTATATATATATATAAAAAGAAATAAAATATCAGAGTTTTTTTTTCCTTTCTTTTGAAATTTGTTTAAAAAAAAAAAAAAAGAGAGAGAGAGAGAGAAAGAAAGACTTTGAATCGATGTGTGTGTGTATCGTGAGAGTGAAAAGATAAAGATGGATGTGGTATAAAGAAAGAAAGAAAGGAAGAAAAGCAAGTGTGATAAAATAAAGAAACTTTTAATCGGAAAATATCGAAGGAAAAGAAAAGAAAAGAAAAGAGAGAGAGAGAGAGGGGGGAAAATGGTTTAATTATCGAATTCTTTATAAACATTAATTTAATTAAAAAAAGAAAAAAAAATAAGAAAAACTACTTTTAAAAATTCGATACTTGAAAAAAAAAAAAAAAAAAAATTGATGAGAAAATTTAAGGAAAATTTATTTTTGAATAATAATAATAATGATGACAATAATGATAATCAAAACCTTTTTCAAATCGACTCGAAAATAAAAAAAAAAATTTTCCGCGTGAGAAAAATAAAACAAAAAAACAATTGAAAATAATTTTCAAACGGGGGTGGTATTAATAACGAAATTATAAATTCGTGGTTGATTGATCGATCGATCGTATCGATTCATCGACCGATCGATCAATCGATCGATCGTATCAACGATAAATCGATTGTTATTGAAAATTTTTTTTAATGAAATCGTCGTTCGTAATAAATTATTATTAATTTTTTTTCACCAGAGAATAAAAAAAAAAGAAAAAAGGTTTTTTGTTTTTTTGGTGGAAAATTTGGGGGGGGAGGGTTAAAGGGTAAAGGTTAAAAGACAAAATTAATTTTTAATTAAATTAAATTGAATTAATTTTTTTTGTTTTGTTTTGATTTTGGTCTTTGTGAGATTATAAATTATTTATTTATTTATTTTTTTTCCTCAAGTTTGAAATAATAATAAAATTGAAATGTTTTCCTTTCTCTCTCTCTCTCTCTCTTTTTCTTTTGCGTTTCCTTTCGAATAATAATAATAATAATAATTTTTTTTCTTTTTGTTCTTGTTTGGGCGTGAACACGAAAAGGGGGGGGGAGGAGGAAAGAAAAGAAAACACGATGATGGCCACGAGAATTTCAATATTTCGTTTAACCGTTTATTTACTCAACTTGGGTGTGGACCTACGTAGATTTTTTTTTTTTTAACAACAACAACAATAATAATAATAATAATGATGATGATGATGGCGGCGATGGCGATGGCGATGATGATATTTACATGTAAATTATTCTTATTTCTCGTCGTGTGTATAAAGAATTCACTTCTTATTTAAAATTTAAATGTGCATTATTACTCGTACGTTTTATAGTTACACACACACAAAAAAAATGTGTGAGAGAGAGAAAATAAATAAAAGAAAAGAAAGAACAATATTATAAGTTTTCACAGAGAGAATGTCGTCGAAATTATTATTATTGTTATTATTATTTTCGAAAGTAAAATTATATATTATTTCATGTTTTTTGTGTTCTTCGAAAGTTCAAATTGTAAAAAAATTCGTTACTTTTAGTAGTAAATTACTAAATAAAAAAATTTTTTTTTTTTTTTTTGCTACGTACATTATTAATTTAACGTGACTTTAGACATTTTTTTCATCGTCGTCTTCTGCTTCTTCTTTGTTAGAAGGATACGGGGAAGGGGGAAAAAAAAATATGAAAAATATTAAAATTAAAAAAAATTTTTTTCTTCCAACGTGTGAAAATAAAGAAAATTATTATTATTTTTTTTTTCTCTCTCTCTCTCCTATAAATTAAAATTTAAAACTTTAGTTATTTTACCTTTTTTTTCGTAACTTATTTTCGAATGAAAAAAAAAAAAAAATTTACGTCGAAAATAAATCATTCGTTAAAAAAAAAAAAAAAAAAGAAAATTTTCGCGATTTAAAAGAAAATAAATACGATAATATTAAAAAAATATGGGGAAATGGGGGTTTTTATATGAGATTTATAAGAAAAAAAAAAAAAAAGTTTACCAACCTTTGAATATAAAACGTTGAAAAAAGACGTTTCACGTTGGCAGCTGTTACGTCATAACATAAAGATTTAATTTAATATGATTGAAACATAGAATATTTAAACGAAAAAAAGGGAAAAATGTAAATCCCGCCATTTTTATTTAAAAAAAAAATAAAAAACCGTTGGAGAAAAGAAAAACAATTATTATTATTATTATTAAAATAATTTGATTTATTTATTTTTTAATCATATCGACAAGGACGGAAGAATTATCCTTAAAATTTATGATTTTATAACAAATAACGTTCGTAGAATGCGGTTTTATTATTATTTTTTTGACTTTGTGGTCGTTTTGAGGGGGGCGGGAAAATTTGAATGACACACACGCACACATAATGCGTTTGGGATTTTTTTTGTGTCCTCTGACGCATATCTGAATTATTTAATTGCAGAAGAGCGCACCTACGACATTGCCTGGAAAAACTCAAAGAATTAGTACCTCTGACACCCGAAGCCTCGAGACACACAACCTTAGGCCTTTTAACAAAGGCGGAAAGATATATTAAGGTAAGTTTTGTACCTTTTTTTTTTTTTTTATTTTTAATCCAGCTCGACGAAATGTCGAATGTAAATGTACGTGTGCTCTTTTCAGGTATGATGAATAATCTCTAGTATTATTATTATTCCTTTGCTTTTTTAATTTTGATTTGGCGGTAAAGGATTAAAAAAGTTTATTCCGAAAAAAAAACATCCGCGTAATTTAATTGTCATTTTTTACCACCACCACAACCCCTTCCCCCTCTCCCCGTATTCTGTCTTTTCCTTTTTTATAAAAGGTTTTATTTCCCAGGTTTTGAACCTTTTTGCGAATTTTGCGGGATACAATCGTGATTTTCTTTCAAAATTGAAAATAGATTTTGCCGAAACAAACTTAATTATCCTCTCCATGTTTTTTTTTTTTTTAACATTTAATTTATTTAAAAAAAAAAAAAACGTTGAAATCGTTCGAACGTGAAGAAAAATTAAAAAAAAAGGAAAAAAGGAAAAAAAGGACAAATACATGACGAGGACGTGTAACGTTATGCATGATGCATTAATTAATAATGCACCGGTCAGCTGGCCTTATCGACCGGTCAAAACCATAGAGTTAATAAATATTATGAGAAGGTGGATGGATAATAGATGATTAAATGGTGGGTGGGTGGCGGGAGGGAGGAATTAAAGAAGAGAATGGATGTTGAAATTACGGATGTAGGGAAAGGAAGGAGAGGGGAGACAACAAGAGGAAGGGAAAAAGCAAAACAGAAATAGGCAAAAAATATATATGTATATCTGTTGGATTTCATGGGAAAGCATTATTATATTTATTCAAATTTTCTTCCTGTTTCTCTCTCTCTCTCTCTCTCTCACTCTCTCTTTTTTCTCTCTTTCTCTCTCTCTCGAAAACAATAGAGAATGAGAACGAAATTTTTAGTTTTTTAACTTTTTGATCGAAAGAGATCAGCCAAACGTGACTTCATTTTTATTTTTTTTTGAACGGAATGAAATGAAGAGAAGAGGGAAAGTAGAGGAGTATGAAGGGGGGGGAAGAGAAAAGAGGAGGTCGAAAGGAAATGAGAGTGAGAGAGAGAGAGAGAGAGAGAGAGAGAGAGAGAGAGAGCGAGACAAAGAGAAAAAGCTAGGAAAGGGTAAGTGGGAAATAATAATAATAATAATAATAATAACGATGCAAATGTAAAAAGCTTTTCAGGTTTTTTTTTTTTTTTTTTTTTTTTTTTTGGTTCTTTGAAATTTGTTACTCGAAAAATTATTATTATTTATTATTACTATTATTATTATTTTATATAATTTAATTCAATCAAATTTGGAGGGAAAAAAAAAAGAAGAAGACGAAAAAGAAAACCATAGAGTATGACGATTCGATTATTTCTTTATGGAGAAAGTTAGTTTTTCTTTGTAAAATACCATTAATTTTTTTTTTTTTTTTTTTTTTCAACGACATGATGAATTTTCAAAATTTTTGTTGGTACTACTTTCTTTTTCTTTTTTTAATTTTTTTTTTTTGGGGGGATCGGTTTAATTACACGATCGAAAAATGATCGTTAAAAAAAAAAAAGAAAAGATAATAATGATAAATTCGGGGAGACTCTCTCTTTTTTTTCTTACTCTCATACTTTTACGTAAACCCAAATGACAAAAACCTGATTTCAATCAATAAAATCAATTAAATTATTATTATCATCATCATTATTATTTTTTTTTTGTATTGTTTTCCAGAGCCTTGAGGATAAATTTAGGCGACAAACGCTTTTTTTGGAAAAATTACAACGGGAAAATCGGTACCTTAATAGGAGATTAGATAGTTTGCATAAACAAGTTGCCCTGTCGAAAAGACGATCCGTCTCTGAATGTTCAACAAATACAATATCAAGTATAAGCACAAATTTATCAACGGGATCACCATCAATATCAGAATCAGGTACGATAATGAAACCACCATCCATCCCCCCCTAATAATAATAATAATTATTTCGTGATTATTTAAGAGGTACAGGCGAGAACTGAGGATAGGGTAAAAAGGGCGGAGGGAAGGGGGTAAAAAATGGGGGGAATTAAAAGGAAAAACTGTATTTTAAAAATGACATAAATGTTTTTTCTTTTTTATCCGAAACGAAGCCAAAAAAACAAGGGTGAAAATATAATAAATAAATTTACTACTATTTAGGGGTAAGAAATGTGTCTGGAAAGCGAATTTTTTTTTTTTTTTTTTTTTTTTTGAAACTTTTTAGTGTAACCCACAGCCAACATGTTTAGTTGTTGCTGTTTGTGTGTTCAGACGTTTTATTTACTAATTAGTTATTTAAAATTTTTTTTTTTTTTAAATCGGTTTTTAAACGTTAATTATATATTCGAGTTATTAAAAAGAATAAAAATAAAAATAATTTCCCTTTCCCCCCCTTGTCCCCCCTTGTTGGTAAATGACGATCACTTGCAATACTTAATCGATTACGTTATTTAAAATAATTAATAAATGAATCGGGATTTTTTTAATTTAAAAAAAAAAAAAAAAACGGTTTCAATAAAAACAAAAATTCAAAATTTTTTTTATTTATTTATTTTCATTTGTTTGTTTTGTTTTTATTACGTCTAGATGAAGTTGATGTCATCGGTTATACTAGCAATCAAAGCGATACAGACGATTATAGCAGCGCTCAGTCTTCTAGTGACAGCGGCGTTGCCATGTCTACCAGCCGTCTTACCCTTTCCGAAATGGAAATTTTCTAGGTAAGATAACATTAATTAATAAAGATAAAATTTTTGTTTTTTTTTATTATTATTATTAGTATATTTCCTCGTGTTTTCTCTCTCTCTCTCTTTCTCACTTAAATTAAATTAAGAAAAATAATAATGATACTCGTACTGATAGATTTTTGTTGCGTGATTGACATTTATTAAGACAAATTATTAATAAGACGATAAGGAAAACCATAGAGTAAAAAGATAATAATTAGTTTTTATGTAACGCAAATCCAAGTCGTCCGTCGTATGTTTTGATTTTTTTCTTATGACACGTCATAATTTATTTTAATAGGGTAAGTACGGTACGGTTTTTGTTTTTTTTTATATATATAAAAAGGAGTTTATGGTGGAAATGATGCATAAAAATTTTCAGTGTCATATTAAGACCTTATAATGTTTGACATTGAAATTGCAAAATTTTATTGCTTTTACGTCAATTTATTAAGTAAAAGTTGTTTTTTTTTTTTTTTACAGGTTGGTGATTGTCGACGAAATCGTTAAACAATTGAAAAAAAAACCTTTCGAGATTTTTTATTTTAATTTCCAACTCATGACGTAACACACACACATACACACAACGTGAAATGGTGAAAAAAAAAAAAAGAAAAAAAAAAGAATGCGTCGGTGCCAATTGAAGTTTTTGTGTTGTCTGCTTCCAGCGCCATTTCGACCTTTTAACTCGTGAAACCCTCCAAAAAAAAAAAAAAAAAAAGAAAAAAGAAACAAAGGGAAAAAGTTTTTTTTTTTTTTTTTTTTTT